CGGGACACAGAAGCGATCTGGCGACAGGTAAGTCGCCAGAATCGCTTCTGTTGTAAAGCCGACAGTCGGCTCTACAAGTTTAAACAGAGTCCCGGCGGCCAAAGTCGCCAAGAGTCTGTTTAAACAGCCCCGATGCTGGCGACGTACACTGTACGTTGTCAGTCACGAAGGGGTTAAAGAAACAGAACGGTCAATCTCTATTCTTTAACCGTTTGCCGTCCGCCCATTGCAAACACAGGCAGACGGCAATCTTTTCCCAGCGGGTGGACGTACATGTGATTTTTTTTGGACAGCAGCTGCCTGTACAGAGAATGGAGGAAAGATCAGCATTCCCCCGCTGCTGATCTCTCCTCTCTCTAAAGGAGAAAACAATGTCTATTATGTGTATTACATCACTTCCTCCTTAGATGTCATTTCTCTGGCTGCTGAGAAGAAGCTGGTGAAGCAGATCTCTTCATCACCTTCTTTAGGGGTCCATAATCGAGGACCTGTCACTGTATACTGGATATCGCATAGGGGGATTTTTATCCCCCTGAGAGTAATAACGTTTAAAAAAAAAAAGTCTCAAAAATGAAAAAAAAAGTAAATCTCGGCATATAAAAATAAGTGTCAGATGAGCTTAAGTGCGAAAACAAATTACGACACACGTTACATATCACGGTGAACGTCAAAGTGTAAGCAATAATTTTAGGGCCATTAATCACCGATGACACTAAACTGATGAGCGGTAAAAGCTTTTAAAGCGTTGCTTGTGGCCAATTTTAGGCACGCTAGTTTTTTGCAGTTTTACGGGCACATGCAATCTTAAAGCTCGACTTGTTTGGAGTCTATTCACCCGACGTGACCCCGTCTATTATATTATTATAATAGACGGGGTCACGTCTATTATATATGTTTTATAACAAACGTAGGAAAAACGTAGCAAAAACGTTTTTTTCCCCCCAAACTTAATCTGTACTTTTTTCTTTATATAGTAAAAAATAAAAACCCCAGTGGTGATTAAATACCACCAAAAAAATGGTATAAAATTAATTTCAGTACAGCGCTGCATGACGGAATAAATGTCAGTCAAAGTACCGCAGCGCTGAATACTGAAAAATGGCCTGGATGGGAAGGGGGTGTAAACACTCCTGGCTTCAAGGGGTCAATACATCATTTAAGAACACTTGCAGTGTAAGTACCCAAATTTACCAAGGTATAAAAATATCCATCTCTGATACAGAACCGCTAAGAGAAGCAACAAAGCCAATTAACTGTGCTGCAGTGCTCATGTGCTAAGGGGCTTGCTGATCGGAGGAAAAAGCACAGTGAGAGTTCAGCCAATCCGAGAGCTGCTTTTCCCTTCACTGTCCAGTCAAAGGCTGAGGGAGGGGGAAGACCTGTAAGAGTTACTGAATTGAAAAATCAGGTCTTCTGACCTGCCAGACATGGCTGTGGAGATTAGTATGAATGCATTTCATCTGTGTGTCTAGCTGCCCGCACGGAGTTCAGCTTCGGGAGCTCCATAGCTCATCCAGTGACATGTTTTCTAGGTGGAGACGTACCTTGTTTTTTGTAATATTCCTCCCATGCTTTTGTATAGTCCGGCTGCCCAGCAGGTTGAGGCGTCTGCTGACCTGTAGGCAGAGGTAGCACAAGCGTTAGCAGCCATAGACCCAATTGTGCCACAGCGCAGACAATGTGCACATTGCGCATCACTTACCCATCTTCTTGTAGTATTCTTCCCAGGCCTTCGTGTAGTCAGGCTGGCTGGCAGGTGGGGGCTGCTGTGGCGGTTCTCCTTGCGGTGGCGGGACGGGGACAGCGGGAGGCTGTCCGGGGACGGGGGCAGGAGGCTGCTGGTAATAGTGTGAGTAATAGGCAGCCCAGGCTGCACTGGGGTCTGTGGGGGCTGGAGGTTTTGCTGCAAGTACAAAAAAAAAAAAAAAAATATGGTTATAGAAAAAAAAACAAAAAAAAAAAAAAACTTTAGATCATCTTTATTATGAACCCTTGACGTGGGGCTACCCCCACACTGCGAGGGTTAAATGTAGGGATGCACCGATTTCGCTTTTTCGGTATTGAGTACCGATACTTTTTTCCCGGTACTCATTGATACCGAAAGTCCCATTAAGTAAGCCAGGCGGCGTGTAATGACCTCTGCCTGGCTTCCCGATTGGCCGGGAAGCCGGCTCCATGCTCCCGTGCCACCAGGTGACGATGAGGGAGAATTAAGCCGGCTTCTCGGTCTATCAGAAAGCCAGGCAGAGGTCATTACACGGCACCCAGCTTCCTGATTGACCAGCTTCCCCACCAATCAGGAACCCGGCTCCATGCTCACTCGTCACAAGTGATGAGGGAGCATGGAGCTGGCTTCCGGATACCGGAAGTATCGGGCTAGGCATCGGAGCTTTTGGCCGAGTACATTGGCACTGATACTTGTATCGGTGCATCCCTAGTTTAATGCTCCTTTGTTCCTAGGTTAAAAAAGAAAAAAAAAAAGTTAAGACTCACCCGAAGCTCCGAGCCAGCTTCTTTTTAGGCCGGTCCTTCAAACATCTCTCCCCTCCTCTGCAGCAGTCTAAGGTCCTGTAAATCATCACATTCTATGGATGTCAGCATGCCGAGGAAGATTTCAATGCTGCAGGGAGGGGGGAAGACAGCTGGCTGGCTCGGAGCTTTGGGTGGGTAGATCTTTGCTATTTTAGCACCTAGATGCAAACTAGCCCTTCACCTTGGCTGTGGGGGGTAGCACTACTGCAAGGGTTAATAAAAACAATTGAAAGTGACATTAAACCCTCAGATTTTTTAACATAAACCAATACTGTAATGTGTGCCTTACTGTAATCCATGGTTGTTTCCCTTCTCTTTGCTGCTCTTCCTTTTAAATCTGTATCTGTTCTCATGCTGGGGAGAACTTGTTTTGCAGCTGACTGCCTTGTCTCAGGAATGAATACACAGTGTCTGTGTATAGGTTTGTATAGGTTTGTAACCTGAGCCAGCACTACAGGAAGAGGCCCTGAGCTGAAAAGGGAAGTTCTCCCCCCAGCATGAGAAGACATGAGGATTTAAAAGGAAGAGCAGCAAAGAGAAGGGAAACAACCATGGATTACAGAAAGGCGCACATTACATTATTGTTTTATGTTAAAAAATCTGAGGGTTTAATGTCACTTTAAGGATGCAGAAATGCAGCTAAACAAGCCCAACAACACAGATCAGAAAACAAAGTCTCTAGAATAAATAGCGCAGCACTTACTGGGGTCGTGAGGAGCTGGCGGCTGCCCCCACTGGGGATACGTGCTCCCCCAACCTTGTGGAGGATACTGGTGTGGGGGTGGAGGAGGAGGAGGACCCGGACTGTAGAAGGAAAGACAAGAAATGCATTATAAAAAAAGGATCCGGAAGAATTTGTTGTGCTGTCACAGCTCAGAGGCAGACAAATCTATATAAACCAATGAAGTGTCAGTGAAACCCATAGAGCTGTATACAGTAATTCACACGGCCCTGCTGTAACCGACACAATCCGTGATGACAATTACACGTAAAAAGGCCACAGAGGGTCATAACCAATTGGTCATCTTTCTGTCTGGAGGTAAAGATGTAATGGTTTCCAGACACAGACCCATTTGGGTAAAATGTTGTCAGCAGGAGAGAGGGAAATCTCTAACGGAGTAAAATCCCAACAGATACTCCAACTCTTCCCCCCTCTATCTGAAGCTAAGCTGCTATGTTTTGGCAGGACGGACACTTTACATGCAATTTGTTGTTGAACATGGGCGGCTTACAGATAACCGTTGTGGTACTCAGGATGGAGCATGCCATTGCTTACATGGACACAACAGCACAGAGCAGCTCAAGATGAATGCCTTGTGCTAGACGCCATAGAAACATTTTTGTATCGTTACTCATATGCACTTTTATTTTCCCGCTGTTGTGCATAACCCAGGGATCACACCCCAAAATTAATTAATGGGCAGGTCATTGTATGTAAAAGGTGTGTGGGACCAAGGTATCATCACAAAATTCATATACTGGCAGGTAGGGATGCACAGATAATCGATTTTTCAGTATCGAATACCGATATTTTTTCGGTACTCACCGACACCGAAAGTCCCATTAACCTCTTGCCGTCCGCCCGTTGTAAAAAAACGAACGGACGGCACTGCAGCATTGGCGGTTTGCCGTCTCCAGACGGCATTTTTTTTCTGCTCGCGCGCGCCCCCTAGCGGGCACAAAAGACCCAACCATTGCACACACCCGTTGCCGGGTGTTTCACATATAGGCGATCAGCGGCTCCATAGCCCGCCGATCGTCTATATGTGCTTGTTCGCGTCCGCCCCCCCACCCCCCGCGCGGCCA